AGTGGTGCGGGTGTTGCTCGAGGCTGGAGCTGACCAGAACGCAGCAATGCAAGATGGGACAACCGTCTTGATGGTTGCAGCTCAAATGGCCACTTGGAAGTGGTGCGGGTGTTGCTCGAGGCTGGAGCTGACCAGAACGCAGCAAGGTAAAATGCGTAAAATGGGGGACCCGCCTTGACAGATCCAGCTGAGAATGGCCACTTGGAAGTAGTGCGGGTGTTGCTCGAGGCTGGATGTGCCAACTATGCAACATTTCTTGCCAACCTTGGCTGGCTTTTATGGATAAAACAGGCACACATTTCCACATTCATGGATATTAGTTGGAAGATCAAGATCCAGGTATATATCCCACTAGTCGTGTCTGGGTACAAGATGTATCATAATGTATCCAACTATATAATACAACCCACCCAAATTGATTCCATCAGTAAATCCCCACTCAAAATGTACAGTGGAAACGGTCATCGGTCATTGGGGACCCCTCTTTGGGTTCGGATCCAACGGGATTCGATCACCAGGTGGCCGAGTATCTCTTGGGCTTCGGCAACCGAGACGTGACGGGCAGCCCCACGAGCAGGCGGGAACGACAGGGAGGGGGCGTGGTTCGGTGTGGGAAGAGGTCGGAGGTACGTTCGCACCAAGGTGAAGCTACGTTCGTAGCGAGAAACTACGTTCGTAGCGAGGCCATCGCAATTAGGATTGGCCGGAGGCCAACTTGGAGGCCATTACTGCTATAGTCACAAGAAGCTACGTTCGTAGATGTCGGGTGTGTTTGTGTTTTTTTTTTCTTTTTTTAAACTATAGGGATCTATAGGGAGACACCCGCCCTCGCCCCTGTTGCTGGGTAGACTGCAGGGGGTCGGGACGTGTGGGATGTTTGCACACTTTTAATCACACGCATGTTGAAACAATTCCTTATACAGTATATAGGATATCTAGCTGACTGAGCAGGCAAGCTGCATGGAGTAAGATGTATTTGTGGGTTGAGTCGTTGGGTTATGACATGTTAGCACCCATACCCTGACGTCCGAAACGAATCGTGTACTTCGGCCGTGATCTTCGCTGGGTGTTTTGTTTGATCCGTATGCTCACAGGCTTTGATAGAATCTGATGTGCTTGCTAACTGAATCAGACTCCCAAAGGGACACTTCGGAGATTTGAATATTGAAAGCTGGAGAACAAAACATAGGTTACGGGTGTCTGAACCAGCCTACTTTGCCATAGAGGTCCCAAATGAGAACGTTTTCTCAAAGGGTTCCAATATATAATCAATCCTGAACCTCCCAGGGAGGTTGTTTCTATAGCAGGATTCAAAACCCATTTTGGGAGTTTCAATACATGCTTGGTTTCGTTGGTGTCGAAGACAGCTCCTTCGCTGGTCTTCGACGTCCTCCCGCTGCAGATCGGCTCCTTCGCTTCCGGACTTCGTGGATGGTGCCCGACAGCCCAGCGGTTGGATCAGTTGGGTGGTTTCCCCAGGTGCTTGGAGCGAGGGGGGTGGCGGGGGGTTCTTCCCCCCTCCCCGTACCGTTCACAGGGTTTTTTTCGAAAGGCGGGGGTTCCCCCTGGTGGAACGGACAGGGCCTTTCGGTTGGGACGTCGTCCTAACTCTTGCTTCGTAAAGAAAGGGAGAGTGCAGAATGATCAGGAGAGCGGTCCATGTTCAGTTCAAGCAAGCCTTTTACTAAGCCAAGAGCTACAGCACACTTCCAGCGGCATTCTAGCATGTTGAACCCTAGGGCTCCAACCACATCCTCAAAAGGTATATATATTGAAACTCCCTGGCACCCACCACAACCCACCTCAACCGAGGATATGGTTGGAGCCCCCAAGGTTTTCCTTCCATCCACTACTCGACATTTCTTCCGATGTGGCGCCCATGTTCCGATGAGGAGCTTCCTCACGTCACCGTTACACCCCCCCCGGTACTGTAGCGCCGCGCCGTGGTCAGACCGTGCTACGTGACGCGGACGACAGGTGGTCTTCTTGGACGATGATGGCGGAAAGAAGATCCTGACCCTTGGGCCATAGAGTCGAAGGCTTCGACTGGCGGGGTGGACAAGGCCAGAAGGGCGCTGTCCGTCGTTTAATCTGGGGAAGTCGAGGAAGGAGGAGAGAGGCTCGGCATGAGAGGGGGTCGGAAACACAGATCTTCCATTGTTTTGGACCGACCAGCTTGCTTGAATTTGGTCCTGAAAGCCCAGTCCCAACCAGAAACACATGGTTGGAAGCCAATATGGCGCCAGCTCGAGATCCTTTACACAATAGGAAGTGGCTGGGACTAGGGAAACATGCATTTGTTTCGGACTGGGCTTCGAGGTTGATGTATTCATGTCCGATCTATGATGATATCAACCAGAAAGCCGCAAGGTGGCGGAAGGTGGCTGACGGGCCCAAACCGACCTTCCCACACCAGCTCCACCCTCCACCGAGGCTTCGGCAGACGCGCGAGGTCACCAAACTCGCCGACAGCGGCGTGCCGGCGCAGCGGCGCTTCGCCTTCTACGACCAGGCCGAGCGTCGAGCGTCTTCTTCGGGGCAGCGGGAGGCGAGGCGAGGCGAGCGAGGACCGCGGTCCGAGTTGGGGAGTGGAAAAGGGTGGAAGCAGGTGGATCGGATTGGGTCAGTGAGGGTGTTTCTAAGCAGCGCGGTCACCTGGTTGAGAATCGCTCCACGCCTTCTGGACACAGGTGAGGATTATATATAGTACTGAATAGTCCCTAGGGCTCCAATCGTATCCTCAGAAGGTCGTTAGACCCCCCCAACCACCTTCTCAGCAGGTGGTTGGAGCCCTAAAAAGTATTGAGGTTGGTTTCAACATCTCCTGCGGGGCTTTAGCAGAGCCACAGAGCCTCCGATCTGTGGTCCCGCCATGGCGCTGCCATCATCGCCTTCTTCATCACTCACCGCCATCATCGGTCGAGAAACGGAACGGGACGGTCCGCGCAGGTGCACACCACGGGCATGGACATCCAACATAAACTGGATGCAGTGGCGGCCTTGACTTTGGGCAAGGACATGCTTCTTGGCCAGAAAGTTTTTGTTTTTCCAGGCGTTCCTGGCATTGTTCTTGGGGGCTGGGAGGGAATTGGAAACACGTTTGACAGATGAATGAACAGTTCGGATTCCGAAAGTGGCAGGAACGTGGGGAACGTGGGGAGTTGTGGGGGTCATGATGGTCTGGATACCCAAAAACTCACTGGTTTTGCTTAGGGCTGATGTTTATAGTCTATTCCCTATGGGAATAGCTTTTTCTCTTCTTTTCCCCAGCTTCGCACAGCAAATCCGAGACAATTGAATTCCAAGCGGATCCGCCGCAAGAACTCCTTCCACTGTGAGGTGCTGGCGTGACTACGTCCAGGGGGCTTACCGCATGCGCGGGATTGGCCGAGGCACAGACGGACGCGAGTCGGTGCTTCCCCGGTCGGTGATCCTGAGGTGTCTTGTTTGGGGGGTGGAGCATGTTGTGGTTTCATTTCATGTTGTGGTACCCATGCCGCACCGGTCTGTGGTGATCCAGCATGTTGTGGGCTGCCAATGGCATTTCAACCGAACGTTCACCGTTCATGATGCTCCAAGCTGGATGGTCAAACAAGTCAAACGTCTCCAATTGATGGGTGTCTAGAGTTTTTGTTCGTCAGTTCACAACATCAGGCTATCCTTGGCTATCAGACATACCCCCAAACAATCGTGGAAGCGGAAAACCTCCCATTTCCCCTAGATCTGGCCTACCTCCGTTTCGGTTTGGTGGTTGGACCACCCAGACCGAGCCCACCTTCGAAACGGAGGTAGCCCTAGGGTCTGTGGATTTCATTATAGTCTTCCAGGGACCTACTGTTGATGGACGAAATCCTGCACCACCTCAGCACTTTACCCTGGAAGGGTCACACATAGCAACCCAATGTTGGTGCGACGCCTCTGAGAAGGTGGTGCAGGAGTTTGGACCTTCAACTTGTTTTAGTCTTCTCACTGACCTGTGGGCGTTGGGGGGGACAACACATTGAATTAAGAAGGAAAGTCTTCAACAAGAGGTCTAAAGATCTATATAAAGAAAAGAAAGACAAACAACAGAGAGACAACTTCTTGCTCATGGCAGGACAGCGCATTTGCCTCTATGTTATCCCAGAAGTGGTGGAGTTGATCAGCTCCTTGCTTCCGCTCGCATGGGGTCTTTCAACCCATCTCATCTCGCAACAGATTGGATTTGGGACAATCCCAAGCAAACAGGTGATAGGTTTGAAATGTCCTGCGTACCATTTACTTGAGTCAGATAGTTTAGATGCGGAATCCAAAGGAGTTCAGATCTTGGGGTTGACTGGTCATTTATGTTTTTTTTTGCAGGGAAACTCCGGTTGGTAGAGCTCTCTTCAAAAACCCTTGCCTAAATGTCCGATTGTGTGACCTGTCGGCCAGCTTTCATGGGAACTGCTTGACCTTCCCCTGAGGGAGTCCTGCATTTCCCTCCCAAGACTCGTTCGTCTTCGAATCTCCTTTCTACGAAGTGTGGGCGATCTCTTGTCCATAAGTTATATAAGTTGCCTTTCTGCAGCTGTTTTTTTGGGATGCTCCCACGTGTTCGATCGGCTCCGGAATGTCTAGCAGAGTCTAGCATTTGGATCTCAGCAAACTAAAATTTCAGGGACTAGGAATGAAAGTCACAGCTTGCAAACCCGCCTCCTGTGGAGAAGAATACTTGTGTGTGTCGTCAGGTTTGATGTTTTTTCAATTCCTCCCTCACAGCATCTTTATGATCAAGATTTTGGGAGACAGGTCTCAAGCCTGAAGATGTTCGACCTCAAGCAGACGGAATCTGATCTTATTCAACCTGAATTCACAGCCATTGACCTCTACAGCCGGTTTTGGAAGTGTTTTGGAGGTCCATGTGGTCCTCTACAGGAGGGTATGACCCATATGAATCCATCATAATTCATCTACCTGGACCCTCCAAGGGGTGTCCAATGGACTACCCCACACTACCGCACTAGGCTTCCAGACAGGGCACCCCGACAGAAGGGTCCTGGTATGATCATCTATGACTTGATTTTGCGTCGACCCTCCTTAACACAACCAATGGACTACCATAGGACTGCCGATCAGTCAGTTGGAGTGCTTGAAACGGGGTGGGGAGGGGGAAGCATATATACCAGAACCCGAAACCTGCCAGGTCACCACCTGCGACCAAAGACAAGTCTGCAAAAATCAGCCTCCGTTTCGGAGACCTCTGCAAAAATCAGCCTCCAGATTCAGACATGTGGTCAGGTGCTGGTACATTGAGTGTTTATCCCTGCACCTCCAAGTACTGCAAAACCCCACTGGTACCCAGCCCAGTCCCACCTTCTCAGGATGTACGAACCCTTGGAATCCCCTGGATGGTCGTTCCCATGCTGTCCAAGGCCGCGATTTGGCCTTGGCGGGCATCGAAGAACGCCTGCACGGACCGGACGGTACGTGGACCAGCGACGAGCGTGGAAGGCTGGCCGGGCGGATGGCGGCCGTCCCAGATCGGTCAAAGACTCAGCGGAGCTCAAAAAGAAGTTCTTTTCTTGTGGCTTGGGTGAGAAATCGGATGATGCTAAGGGACTAAGGGAGCAGTTACTGTATATACCTGCCATGGTTTTTTAGGTCAGAGGAGCGACCTGGTCAGGGTGCCAAACGCTCAGGAAGGCGCAGCGAGTTTTCGGGACAGTCAGTCATGAGCATCACATTTGGAAGCCCAGCAGCAATTCACGATCTTAGAGGAATGTGAGATTCTCCCACCACAGCCACCCACCTTGATTCGGATACGTGGATTCCGGTCACGCCGATTCCGTGACAGGCTCTTGGCAGTGGCCGCCTGGCTGTTGGTGAACTCCATTCGTACCGAGCGGATTCAATTCGCCATGCTGCAGCTGCAGAACTTGGGCAACGTCTGGCGGGGGGTTTTGGGCAGAGGATGCCGAGGAGAGTGTGTTGAGTGTGCATTGGGTGCCTTTCTTCAGGCTCCTTTTTCAAAGTGCAGACCAACGCTGCGCAAATGAAGTTTATCATGTTTCCCTATACCCAGTCAGTGAGGTAACCTTGAGCCCTTAAGCATTCTTTTTCGGGTTTTGTTTTTGCATTTTTTCCATTCAACTCTAGGTGGAAGAAGGTGAACCTTGAACTATACCTTTCCCATCCGACACCGGCGGAGCTCCTCCGGCGCCGGCGCCGGCGGCGGCGGCGCGTTCTTATTACTACCGGCCGCACTGGTCTCTCGGCGCAGGCGGCGGAATGCCTTCCAGACCGTCATGCAAGGCTTCGAAATGGTCACCTCGGAAGGCGTGGGGTGAAATTAAGCGGAGAAGAGGTCGGAAGGGTGGAGCCCGGATTGGAAGCAATATCATTTCTTTTAAACATTGTTTAACGAGTTTCCATGGAACAATATGGAACATTCATGAACATTCATATTATAACAGTTTTCACCTTCATACATGGGAACGCCTTTGGGCAATGTTGGCTTGGGTTCCCTTGTCTATAAGTCAGGCGTGGCTCGCATGCTTTTTGTCGATGAACTCGTGGCCACACTTTCTTAAAATCTAGGCTCGACGTACGGTGTACTCGTGGCCCATATCAACAGAGCGAAAGCAGGACAGGACAGGTGGCAGAATTGGGCGCATCTCCCTTTTGACTGCCATTGGTACCTCCTTTAGTGCAGCCCGCTCGATCAGAAACTGCTGTTGATGGGATGCAGCTCACCTCTAAGTTCTCCACTAAATCAAGTATATAACACAGACCCTCCAGCCCTTTCCACCTTTGGACCGCAAGTACAGCAAGTTGCCGGAGATGTTTCATTTGTCAGAGCTACACATGGATCCTGATACCAGCACCTGACTCAACCGGTCTCCGAAATGGCTGACTGAGACGAGGCGACGACCGTTGGGCCGAAAACAGCTCGGACGCCTCAAAGTTGGTCCGACCGGGCCGCGGGGCCGGTGATGAGATTCGTTTCACCACCGTTCGATACGCGGAGAAGACATCGTCAGGTCTGAAGGAGGCCGTCCAAGTCTTCAAGGTGAGGAAGAGGGGTGAAGAACCGGACGTCTTCGTGGTGGGCGGCGCGGTGGGCTGAGCAGTGTCATTTCGACCAGAGTCTGAACTTTTGGGTGGGTGTATCTGATGTATCTCCATGCGGCAAAAAGAATTCTTTCTTCTGGAGCTTCTCTTAGGTTGCAGGAAAGCACGATATATCACATACAGTCCATGAAGCGGCCCATGGATGTTTATCTCCCATCCAAGTTTCATCACACTTACCCAGCCTGGCAGCCACCTGGGGTGTAGCGCAGGAGCCGAGTCGCTGCGAGCCGAGTCTCGCGGAACGCGAGTCGCAGGAGCCCATCGCCTTCACCCTGCCCAGTGGTGTGCCAAAAGCTCGCGGAGTGCATGAGGTGCTGGGGAGTTTGGGATCGTTTTTAGTTGGATTTTTGGATGAAAGGATGAGAAACAAGAAGTCTTAATTGAAGAGGGATGATCAGGATTTAGATACAATAGACTCCCTAGATCAATGATCAATATCCCTCTTCCATTGAGCCAGCTGGGATTGCCTCTACATCGCACCTTCCGAATTGGTGTTGCTCCGGTTTCCCCACAAACCAGGTGGTCGAGGAGCGCGTGGACGAGATGTCCGGGTTGATCGTCAACGAGGAAGATGAGCAAGCTGTGGCAGAGGCTCAGAGTCTGCAGGTTTCAACCCCCTTCAGTCTGAGCCGCTCAGTCTCACCACGTCTCACCCTTCCCGTCTCCACTGTCCGGGTTTTGAGGAAAAGAGCTGACATGAAACACATTTTTTTCTATGGCAGTGGAGCAAGCGAGTTCTTTTTTGTACATCCTTTAGATCAACGATCGGATCAAGGCTAGGCGACATGAATATGGATGAAACGTTTTGAACGTTTTGGCCTTCTGACGTGGAAGGTCAAGAAGAATGTCTTGGAGCTGTCTGCCTTAGCCGATGAGACGCTTGGTCTTTCAGGTTTTTGCTGGGCTTCATCTAGCGATCAGGTCTAAGGGCACATGTGTCCGAAGGCAAAGATTCTTTCGAAAGGGTTTTCGTGTGGATGTCAAAGGACCTAGAAGTATACGTGGATGACCACCAGGACTGTCGGGGTGCCCTGTCTGGAAGCCTAGGCCGGTAGTGTGGGGTAGTCCAGCCAGGACCCCCGGACTGGAGGGTCCTGGCATGTCGTGTTTCCTTCAGGAAACCATGTGGACATGCCTTTTGTCTCTGACTCTTTCCGGATCGGATGTGCAGCGCAGACCTTGAGAACATGCCGACATGCCTATCAATCTGCGGTTCTTTCTGGGGTCATTCCATGGTTCCTCGGTGGATTGACCATCGTGCTTTGTTCATCCATCATAATGGTTGCCAGTGCCAAGGAAGGAGGGCGAGGCTGGCTTGGAGACTGAACAACAGCGGGAACAAGAGCAGGAACGACAACAAGAGCAGGAGATGGGTTCTCGAGATTTCATGGATTCAGGTGTCGTTTTGTAGCACCATGCATGGATTCAGGATTCGTTTGAAAAACAAAAACCCACGGTTTTCGTTTGAGAGACCTATAGCTCTTAGCAACCCTCCGAACTCAAACGCTCTAGGGAGCCCAGGAGCGGCAGGAGGGAGTGTCCTATCAGCCCCTGTAGAGCCTTCACCTGAACTAAAAAAGGCGAAGAGCATTGAAGGAAGGGACCATTCTGAGGTATTCCGTTTCTTCTTTGTAGTAACACGCTCTGAGCTTGGGAATTGGGCGCGGAAGCTCGGGAGCGAAGAAGGAAGAGCATGCACATCAGCAGCTCCTGCGGTCCGGGGTTGTTTTGCATGTCACGGGCTGAGTGTTCTTCAGTCTGTGTCACAGACTGGCTAGAGAGCCATCGCTGGGAGATGTTGAAAGACATGAAGCGGTCTTCTTTGGGGGCTGTCCTAGGCTTTATGTCTTCCCAAGCACCCTGTCAGAAGGACAAACACACCCATCTTTGATCTCCTGGTGATTCTCCAGCCATCTTTCTGGGGAACTTGTTTTAAAGCATTTGGCCATTGGTCGAGTGCGTCTCTATGCTGAGGCCATTCGTTCGGATCGTCCTCAGTCGCTCAGACCACTCTAGCACTGATATAAGGCGAAGGCGAAGGCGCTTAACCGTCTCGTTCTGCCTTTGTCTGGCGTGTGCGGGCAGACCTTTGGCCCGGGGGATGTTTGGTTTGTTTGGTTTCCATGTAGAGAAAGGACAAATGATGAAAACAAATGGGAAAAGGTGGTAACAAAGGCCCGATGACTTGCTGAACACCCAGCTGTTTTGAGAGGAACAGCGTCTATATGAGTTTGAGAAGTACCACTTCGGGTGCAGGCTTTATAGTTATGTACGCCCTTGTTCGACTGCCTCACTGAGTACGGTGTTGCCGAACATGCTCGAAGCTAGGCCACTCACGTTTCGCGCCCATGGAGGGTCCCATGGAGGTCGGAATTCCCATCGAAGGCATTTTCTCATGATTGGAACAGATTGGAACTGCTTTGGAACAGAGGTGAACAAAACCAATGCACTTGGAGGTAGTTGAACAAGCCGCGTTTCCCAGGAGCAAGAGGAGGAGAAGGAGCAGGAGATCGAGATAGAGAAGCTGCTGGGCAAAGGGGGAAGGATTCAAAGGGTGGGCTGAACCCAGGAGAGGAGTCATAGGCATCGTACGGAGCTTTTTTGAACCCAGGAGAGTCATTTTCTGAAGTTTTTTTTTTTTCACAACACAAGTGTGTTCTAAGTGTTGATACTCATTGTGATTACACCGGCGATCAACAGAACACATCCAAATTCATAATATGTCTCTTCATTGTCATCTTCATCACCCTTCAAACGAAAGGAGGGACGTTGGATGTTTGCCCCCAAAGCCACTTGCAGGACGACCCCACCTGACTCGCACTCGTTGAAACAAAAACAGCCCAGAGACTCCATATATAGCCCTGCCATTGTGGGACTGCCATGGCGCCATAGCTGTTGGAGTGTCCTTTTTCGGGGTCAATTTGAGTGATCTGTAAAAGAAAAGACGTCAAATGCCCGGGCTGACTTTCCACTTTGGAGGGCGACGAAACGACACAAACTCGCTGGTTGTGGAGGGCGCTGGATTGGATGAAAAAGGACACGTACGGTGATATATGTATAGGTCGCATGCTGCGACTTGGGGACCGGTCAAGTCGTGCAAAGCGTCAAATGAAAGCCTCCACATCCATGAGATCAGATCCTTTCTTTCAGGCAAAAGACAGCTCTACAGTCTTGAATTTCTCGTGTCTGGCACAGATCTCCACCTCTAAACTCTTCTCATTGTTTCTCCACCCACCAACACTAAGTACCTTCGCCCCTTTCGCGCACAACTCGGCCTCCGCGTCGGCCCCCCCGAACCCCGAAACCCGGTTTGTGCGTCGGCTTCCTCGTCGAAAGGTTTGTGGATTTGATGCACTGCCGCGACGACGAGGAGCCAGAGAGTTGGCCTCTGGTGACCTTGGCCTCTGAGGACTGGTTGGCCCGCGGCCCACCGGTGGGACCGGGTTCAGTGGACTCCAATTAGGATACGTTGGTCAAGACGGAGACGCGGTTCGGTGTTTCGAGGAGGCCTTCACATCATGTGAAGGATGAATCTTTTCGATGCTGGGAGTCTATACCAGGACCCCCAAAGGGGTGGTTAATGGAGGCGATTAATAGACACCCGGAATCCGTGGTGCTGGTAGAAGTGACATCGCTTTGGATTGTGTTAGATCATATGATGGTCTTTTTTGTGGTGCCTGGTAGATACTGGTCGGAGCTTCGAAAGGATCGGTGGAGTACTGTACACATTGAATAGATGTCTTTGATTGGTCCCCAACACCAGCCCAAACACCGGTCGCACCTGGGGAACGCACCGCCGAAAACGCGCCGAACGCCCTCCGAAGATCGGGGTCGACCGCGTCCACAGCCCCCCAAGAGGTGGTTTCAGATGGCAGATGGCACGGTTTGTCCCTGTTCGATCTTTCGGAGGGTTTCGGTCCACTAAATAAACCACCAAACTTGGGGTTTGTGCTATCTGGCTATCTACTCTCCATCCATGGTCGAGGAGAAGGCGAAGCAGTTCTATGAGGCCCAGCGCTTTAAGCTTTGGAAGCGCAGACCTTTGGAGAATTTGCCTCTCGGATGAGAGCGACATCAGCTCTGAGAGCGACCCGAGGCTTGGGACCCTTGGCTTGGGCTGAATCGACACCTATATAGTACTTAGTACCACTTAGTTATGTTAAAGTGATCAATCATGTGGTACTCAGTACGCACTTAAACCACAAGGATCAATGACAAATCATGTGCGTTTCTGGTTGGGACGGGGTTTTCAGGTTCGAATGGATTATGTCTCAGGACGCTGGTGGATTCGGCCCTGCTGTATGGACTGGCGCCCTGCTGTATTGAGCGGTCCATGACTGGTCGATGACTTCAACATGTTGGGGAGAGCTGCCGAGGTGACTTCAGGTTGCCCCGGAATTCGATTGGAAAGTCAGTTGCTGGCGTTTCCATCCAACGGACCATGCTAAAACACTCGACGGGGAATTCCAAAGGTCGCACATGGTGGGACTTGTTTTTTTGATACCAAGCTGAACCGGTTGCTGGTTAGAGAACTGTCGCCTTCCATTTGCGAGATTTATGTCCCAACCGGTTGCTTTTTGTGTTTGCCGTTTGTCTTTCATGATGTTCGAACGATGTGCTACAAGTTTTGAAGTGAGGATTCAAGTGATGCTTTCTTCGTGGTTGAGCTCAAACTTTCTTTGCATAGAGAAAGACATGGTTTTGAACCCCAACCTGGATCCTTCCCCAAAAAGGACCTTGAACATCAATTTCAATAGTCAATAATACCAGGAGTCACAAAGGGCTGGTTTTTGGTCAAGTCTGTGGATCATGGGGACCCCTATCCTCAAATTTGCACACCCCTTTGTGACTCCTCGTACGTTTTGTGTCTGAAACTTCCGCGCCCTTTCGAAACCCTCGGTGAGTCCGAGTTTCGGTGGCGTGTGCGCCTGAAAAAACCGAGGCCTGGCGAAGCCCGGATCTCCACGAATTGGTTTAATCCCCAATGGAGCGGTGACTTGGAGGCGTCAACGGCTCGAGATTGGAAAAAGCCCCGAATTCAGGAAACTGGACCCACAGGATGTGTTTATAAACAGCACCTTGTGCTGGCAACAGCTGGATTTTTCAACAGCTTGATTTTCCGATCAAGAAGAAGATCTTGGAGAAATAGAACTGAACGTATTATATTAAGTGAGTAGACAAGTGGTATACAGATAGGAAAGGCACTATAGTTTGAAGACGGTTGAAGAGAATCAAGATGTTCAGCTTCGTCAGCAATGACATCCCAGCGCTGGTGGTGTTGAATTTTGGGGTGTCAAGGAGCTGGAACATGGAGCCTTGCCGAGTCAGATCTCCAAAAATGGGTGTAGTTGAGGAAGTCTTGGACCAAGTGCAACAACTGAAGGCAGGGTTTGACTGCTGCTCGCCGAAACCCCGGGTGGGTGGAGTGAAGTCAAAATAAGCCAGTGAGTATCCAATCACAGGCGTCCTGTATCATGATCCGTTGCTGAAATCGTGGGTCCATGTCAGGAATGGTGGTCAACAGACTGGATGTACATCTCTTGCAGTGACATCAATGATACCAAATGGTGGGCTCCAACAAAACATCTCCACACCGGTCAGCTTCCCCTAAGGATGAACATCACCGATGCTCCTCGTCTGTGACCCCCCCTTTTCTCCCCCGTGGTCTCCGTACTCCGCGCCCGGACATCACCGGTCGTGACGACCCGACCGAGGCTTTCGTCGCGTGAAGAACGTCTTCGTGCAGATGGAGTGGGTGCCGGACATGGGCTCTTCGGAGGGAAGGGGTCCCGAGGGAGGGAGGTCGTTGCCCGACAGGATCAGTTGCTTGGGGTCGATGAGAGAGTCTGGGTGGAGAGGGGAGGTCATTGGTTGGGCAAGATTCCGTGGAGAAAGGAAGAGCTATAGTCACCATGTGAATATGAGCTCGCGTACTTTGAGGAGACCTCCGATAGCCCCTGGCTGGGTAGACTGTGTGGTCTATTTCGGTCTCCTTAGCTGGCTCGCTTTGAGCTACACACCCACATGAATCGCAACATGTTTGGGATGAAGATTGACCACAAAGGTTTGGAAGTCCGGGTCTGTAGTCATGAGCAGTCTCCATCCAATTGGATGGACTCTTGTTTGCAAACAGAAGAGAACAGCATGTCAATGTATGAAACATGTTATATTTGCATTCAAAGCATAATGATTCAACTTCAACATACCTCTAACTTCCGAGCATTTGGAGGGTGGACTAAGTCTGGTGTTGGGGATTTCCCTCACGGAAAAACCGCCGTTCCCGGTCCGTTCCGGTCCCCTTCGGTGCCCAGGCAAAGCCGTCCGCTGCAAAGAGCCCTTGCAGTTGGATCAGCTGGAGGAGCGCGGTCGCCCGACCGGCGAACGGCCCGTGGGTCGTGGTGTGGGGAACGACCGACGTGGGTCGGGTGTGGTACCCACCACAGGTCCATGGGTTTGGTTTACATACGGAGTGGTTTCAGAATGTTTCAGAGGTCAGGCGGCATATACCAGGAGCTTCCTTCTGAGGTGTCTATTTTCTAGCTTCTTATAGAGTGGTGAAGGGGTGTCCAAAAACCACCGGGCTTGGAAGGTCCTGGTATACATGGAGTGTTTGGGGTTGTACAAGGCCGGCTGATTGGTCCCGGCACCCCACGGCCAACAGGTCACCAGTACTGCGACGGCCAACCGTCGTCTTCATGTCAGCCACCAGCCGTCGTAGAGTCGATTGGTCTATGTTCTCCATTGAAGGGTTTTTGTGGTATTTTTGTATACCCTACGCAACCAAACCCTATAAATTTGTAGGGTCTCAATCAAAACCTCGGGTATAAATTGGATTGTGTTTGTGTTTTGCGATTGGCCTGCCAAACGCCTCCATCGAATTCATTTTCTTTGCCGGTTCGTGGTCGAAGATGGAACGGGTTTGGCGGTGTCGAAACTGGCGCGGCGTCGTCGTGGTCGTGGCGAAGTCTACTGAGTCGGGTCCTCCACAACCGCCGTCTTCGTTCGCCTCCACCCCGCCCCCACATCGATGGAGGGAAAAATCAGAGGCAGATCTTGATCCGAACTTTGGACAACGGTATATAACGTTATATAGAGCACAATACCTGGACCGCCTGGACCCTCCGTTTTCGGGGTGTCCTAGCTGGACTACCCCACACTACCGGCCGTTCGGCTTCCAGACAGGGCACCCCGACTGGAGGGTCCTGGTATAGAGCACACGAGTTATAGCAATGTGTGGACTCTGATTTTTGTGAGTCAAAAAAAACTGCGACTCTGGGATGTTTTCTTCAGCCCGCATGTTTCTATCAATCAAGAGTCTACATGAAAGGGGGCTAAGCATCGTTTTGTTGATGAGACTTCAGGAGCTGGAGATGCACAAGAAACTTCGCACCGCTTGGGATTTACTGATGCGTGGCGAGGGCATCGAACTTCCTAGAGCTACACAGGTGCTGGAGTCAACAACAAGCACTGGGTGGCTGGGCAGCAACACCTTTTGAGCTTGATTGTCTAAACGTGGTAATCAGGACAGGATTGCTTGGGTTTTAACTCAACACCACCAACACCACGCGATCAATCCCAAAACCCCAGCTCAAAATTTGGAATCTGAAACCCTCCCATCCCAAGACTAGACCCTCAAAACCCCTCTTCACTCCCCCCCTTCCTTGTTGTCGCCGGTTTCCCATGTTCCATCTCAGCCCCCTTCAGCTCCAGGCACGGGAAGAAACCGGAGAAGCTGCCACCTCCGCCGGGCGAGCTGGGCTCCGAGCGCTTGATGGAGCTCCTGGCCGCCTCCTTCGATTGGGACCCCGCGCTGCGCGATCCGGGCGCTGCTTTGGCCTATTTGGGCCGAAAGGCGATCGATGGCATGGGAATGGGGAATGGAAACACACCCCATGGCATGGATGGGATGGATGGGATGATGATGGAGATGATGATGGGATGATGATGGGGATGATGGGGGTGTGGGGTTGGATTTCGAGCTTTCTGGATGGAGATCGGTGGGGATGGTGTTGTGAAAAGGGTGCTGATGGGACTTTCGGGTCCACCGGTGGGAGGGGAGGATTGGATGGTTGAGTACATGGGATCTAGATGGGATGAGGAGGGAGAACAAATTGAGCCAAAGTGTTTCAGATCAGGAGTCTGCAGGCAAGTTTGCCCTCCAGCAGTTCCTAGCTGGGTCCAGTCTTTTGCTTTTTGAAGCAATGCCTGGCTGCTTTGAGAGAAACAAAAAACCAACTTCGTTGGAAAAGCGGTCTAGACGGGTCGTGGGTGGATCAGTTGATGGTCACTTGCGCGGAGCATCTGACCGTTGCCCAAGATGACCGGCGGCAGGTGGAAGAGAAGGTGAACTACGAGGTGGGGAGTTGTATGCATATGGGGCAAAGTTTTCTTATATTCTTTTTTGGGGGGGCCGGGGCGGTGGTGTTGTGTTCCAGCATTTGGGTTTGAGTGATAGGAGCAAAAAATACAGATCACAGGCTGTGGAAAAAAGCACCTTCCTGTAGGGGTAAAGATGGGTCTTCAACAGTGTGGCGCTCAGCATGTTCATTATGATAGGGAAGTTCAAGTCCTGCTTTTTTGGAGAGCGAAGTCTCACTTTGCCCAAACCACTCAGATGAAATCGGAGGTGCAGTGATTGGATGTTCAGCTCGATTTAACCACTCTGTTTGATCGTTTTGCAGCAACTTGCAGCAAGTGTGGTATATACTGACCTATCTTGCACCTGATTTTGCCCAATGTGGGCTACTCACATGGTGGACAACCTCCCACGCTGGCCTGGTCTCTGTCGACCTCGATGTCAGCTTGGCCAAAGCCGTCAAAACGGCCCTGTCGCACAGTCACAGGCTGTGGAGTGCGGCAGGATCTGCCGAGCCTCTGAACGTTTAAGACGAGGTTGACAGATACCAAGTTGATCCCAAAGAGGAGGAAGACCTCCCTATATATAGAATATTTCTCCCCAATCAATGCTTCGCTGGACATTGGAGAATCATATTCTCACACTTCAAGCGAACACATATTTTTTTCGCGCGAGCGACAGGGTCCATTGGTTTGGCCGCGCGAGGGACAGCCATTTCCCGCTCTGCAGGACATGGTGCGACTCCTTTTGGACGCTCGCTTCCGCACTCGCGATGAGGGCCGCAGCTTTGTGTTGCTCTCCCTGGCGGAGGCGGAGACGCTGCGGAGGGTGCTCCATGCGCGGCTCCAGGCTCGTGGCGCCACATGCGTGTGCCGAGGGTGAAGGAGGGTGCAAGATGGTGCAAGTAGGAAGTCCTCATGATCAGATGGAAAGATCGGTGATCAGAGGTCATGGGCTGTCATGTCATAAACTATCTAAGCGGTTAGTGTCGACTTTCGGAACGAACTCCCAGTTGTTATCGCTCTACCCAGCGAGTTGGAGGTTCTTTGCAAGGAGACGCTCCAAACCGTGTGGCCAACCATGGCCGTGCCATGGCATGCCATGGCATGCCATGTCATGCCATGTCATGCGTGGTCCGACCTGCAGGAGAAGGAGCCGATTCTCAAACAGACACCTAGCGCCGCGCTGGCATTGCGTTGCGTCTTTGCAGGCCCAACGTGGAACGTGTTTTGACGTTTCGGCTGGGGGTGCTTTATGTGCATAGGGATGCGTTCATGAGGATGAGAGTGCTGAAGTTGAGGAGTGGGAAAAGTAGGAGGGCCTTGGATTTGGTGCAAGGCTCAGCCCGAGTTGCAAGGCTGAGATCATTCAAGAACCAAGAGGTATACGGTATACATTGATTTTGGCTGCTTTTTGGTGTGTACAGAGTGCATATTGTGGCATGCCATAGATAAACTTCTGAATGTCAAGAAGCAAAGATCCTCCCACGACCGCCGAGCCGCCCGAGCCGCCACCCCCAAACCACTGAAAACGACTCGCACGACCACGAAAAAGCACTGGCCCACGCAGGGAACGCGGTGCTGGATGGCAGCAAGGGCTTCCAGCCCGGCCCGGCGTTCCAGTGTCGCATGATGCACCAGTTGGCACGATTCTTGGATGGTCCCTGTGGCTGCACTTCTCCGACGTCGGCTGCCGGCGGCACATCCAGCGGAGCGGTATGATCAGAGGAATAATAGTCTAGTCCAGCAGTGGGGGTGGTGGCTGTCTTTTCTAACAGATTAATTTTTACGGACGAGGAAGATCCAATCAAGTTGAGATTGGGGGGTTGGCACTTCTTGTCTTTCGTCCCTTCGGCCAGTTTTGACTCTGCAAGGTAGGGCTCCGTTTCTGGAGGACTGGAGTCCAGCCGTTGCCAAGGCCAATCCTTCTTCCGCCCGCCAGAGATCTCTGTCCTGCTGCGTGCGTTGCAACGCAACAGGCTCTGCGACGCGACGTGTCGCGCCAGCGCGAGCGCTCTGTTGGTGAGAGTGGAGAGCTTTTGCGCGAGCTGCTCTTCATGCAGAGCCGCACACCTGTACATGATTGATGAAGTAATATTATATATAGTACTATCCTATTTAGTACCAGTTATATAATTTTGCTTTGTCAACTTGTGAAAAAATGAGCTCCTTTTGTCCAGAGGCATGTTTGAGTGTTCTTTGTGCACAATTTAACAGAAATACAGTAGGTCACGGAAGCAGGGCCACCAATCGTTCACTGCTGGGCCTGGGTGCAAACCCTGCAAGAGACCTACTGACTGTGTTATCCCAAGACTTATAGTAGCAGTCCAAAAGTCAACTGACTGGGTTAGATTTGGCAAGTGAAGAAGACCATCTTGCGAATCAGAAGGGCAATACTGGAAGTCAAAGCGGCCTTGGAACCCTTGGAAACAGGAGAAACGCATGCGCACAGCATGCACAGTGGCACTTGACCCTATTAACGTCACTGGCTGTTTCAACCTCCATTCGGCCGGCACAAGGGTTGGATGCAAAGATCCATTCCAATCGTCCGGGGTCTGATTTTCTCGTCCGAGCGAACTCGTGACGTGAGGCTATTTTTTTGATGTGACGTGCGAAAGAAACAAACAGCTCTGAGACACCAAGTCCCGAATATCATCGAACATCAGCAGCTGTCTCTCAATATGTCTCTCAAGTTCTTACATCCACCCGAACTCGACCTCAAAGAACTCGACCACTTCCTGAAAGAATCATGGTGAAGTGGAATTTTGTAGAGGAACATGCAATTTCCCACCCCACCTCACCTTTTTGGTGCACCGCCCGCCCTTCGCGTGTCCATAGGCCCTTCGAGCGTCGCCGCTTCTACGAGGGCTTGGGCGGCTGCCGCCGCCGCGGCGCCTCCGGGGGTTGGGAGCAGCAGCCGGTGGCCGAGGCGTTTCGCGGGGGTGTCGGGTGGGTCTTTGGGCGGTGGGACGAGGCCAGGCTGTTTGAGGATTGTTCGAGTTGGGCAGGAGTTGGGGAGAGTCAGGAGTTTAGATCATGGAATTTCTTGCAGGAACTCCTCTATACAAAGCAGCTTTTTGAGTCGACTTGGCATGCTTTGGCAACCTTGACCGGTCGAAGAGCTGACTCAAACTGGGCATACTAGCATATACTAGCCGGGTTTGGCCAATGGAAAGACTTTGTCAATGGTACCATGATGTGGCCAATTATGGCCCTGCCGCTGGAAGATAATTCTCTTGTGTTGCTTGTGTTGGGTTAGAATATCAAACCACTACAGACTACATGCGTGAGCCTTTTGGGAACAAGCTTTGTCCTTCAAGGGGTTTACAAGTGGTGCCAGTCCATGTTTATCGATTTGTATATGGTGCTGAAGAGCACTTGATCCCCTCAATCACAGCCAAGGCCAGCACCTCACCTACATACACCGAGAGCGGGGGTTGTTGGAAGAGGTGAATCAACGCCAAAGGTGGTGCCAAACATGAGGAATTGTGAGGTTCTTGGGAAAATATGAGCATTATATATTTTTCCAGGAAAGACAAACTCTTTAGGAACAACCTGTGGAAACACGAAGTCTTCAGATGGAACCTACAAATTTATAGGTTCTTGATGCTGATGGTATGGACGTGGCCCAAGCAGAAAACATTGAATCGTTTGTGGCAGTTTGATACTGCTAGCTATGTCAGACTCAGCTTCGAGTGCTGCTTCTACAGCATCCCGGAACTTCTACAAGTGCGATGGATGGGAGAGGGTCGCACATGAGAGCGATGATGATGGAAGCACTAGACACTGATCCTGAATTGTTGGAGAAAGCCGTGGCTGTGGGCTATGCTCACCATCTGATGTTCAATGGCTTAGCTGCACAGTTCATTTCCACTTACCTGGACAGCGATTTCAGATGGGTGTTCAAAGATCATACGTTGCCGTGCTACAGGCTTTTCTTGTTGGTCTCAGTGATGTTTGCCGTCATCACACTGTTGCCCGTGGCTTATGGAGAGTTGTTGATGAAAGACCCCTGTATGGTGCACCCGGTCAAGATCAATGAAATAGAGGCAAAATGGAGCATTTGGCTGAAGTTGGCTGCAAAGTGCAAACTTTCATCAAAAGCTGGAAGGCCTTGCTCTTGGGCCCTGCGGCCTCCATCATTGTTGTGTCCTTTCAGTCAATCGGGCCGGCTGCAGCAATGGCACAGCTGGGGCTGCGCAGGCATGCAAAGCGAATCAAAGTATTTCTGTACGCCTGGGTGCACCAAGATCTTTGTAGGCTTTGGTACCAGCCATTCAACGATGATGGCCGCAACTTGGCATTGATTTGCACCATTGGTATGTATGCTTGCGTTCTCCTTGAATTCTTGGCAATCAGCTTCCTGCTCAAGGACGGCCTTGCACTGGCTGTAGGCTTGGGCTTGGCGAGATTGTTGTTGATTTCTGCAAATTTGCTGCTAGCGCCCACTGACAAGCGGATTGAAATGGTCAAAGCAGAATTGCGAGGATTCCAATATCCTGGCTGTGATGCATCACTTGGCGAAATGGTTGCACGCTTGCACTCAAATGTTTCGTCATCCGTCTTCTTCGTCACCAAGGCCCAGCTGGACAGCTTCTTCAACATTCCGCTCCTCAAGCAAGCTGTGAAGATGGAGGAGTTCCTGTGGTCCGGTGATGTGGTCAACGATGAAAAGCATGGCATGCACAGAATGACAGTAACCGATTTTGAGACTCCGATTCAGTTTATTTATATCTCAGACTCTCAGACATGAATGTTTTTGTTCCTATCACATCCGCAAATTCACCAAGCTTTCTCACACAGGTGCCTCAAGGGCCCTTGTTTGTTGATTTTGCTTGATGAAAGCATCTCTTTTCGCCCGATCCATGGCACGGCTTTTGAAAGGCAAACAAGCGCGCCCAGTGAGGCAAATGTCAGAGCTTGCTGGTGGACTTTGATGACTTTCTGCTCCGTACATTGCGCAGCTTTCCATCTTTGGGGATTGCATGTCTTGGGGCAACCAGAAGTCACTGGGGATGGTTAACTTCTTGTTGCAGATTGGATGAGAGAGCGAAAAGCAACATTTCAAGCGGCCAGACAATCGATTCATTTATATAGTACCACTTGACCCGAGGATGAGGCTATTGATCTAGTACGGTTGAGAACTATACACTGTTTGAGGAAGGGCAGCCGGGCAGCCCGGAGCTCCCCGAAAAGACTCAGGGACCTTTATGCTGCATTCCGCAGACCACAATTCCTGGAAATTCTATGTTGTCCACTTGGGCAAAACCTGAAAGGGTCTGGCAGCCAGGACGGGCAATTGGAGGAAAACCGATCTGTCAGGAGTCAATTCGTGCCAGTTTTCAGGAAGGCTAAACAACTGTACTGTTATATAAATAGAGTTTTAAATTCAGGAGTATATATATACTGTATATTAAATATAGCAACTCCATAATATACTCTATTCATTTGCATGCCTATTGTTCGTTTTACTCGGTCATTTTCCACTTACAGTCACCGCCATCAGTCAGCCAAGTCGGTCAGCCGCATCGCCAGGTTTTGCGGCCCTGGTTGGAGTTCGAGCACCGTGGACGGAGCAATGTTCAGCCGTCTGGAGGAATCCAATTTATGTTCCAAGAGAAGTCAAGTGTTATAGGACACTATAATTACCGGGGTACATATGGGATAGTCTATATATTAGGGTCCTTCAACCCCTGTTGGTTGTTGGTGCTCAAGGATCCCAGAAAGATCGTGCTGTTGATTTTGTTGGATAGGTTTTTGGTAGCTGTGAGGTTCTGAGAGGCTGTTTTCTGAAGAGTTAAAAGGCAAGATGTGTCGACCTCCATGAGGAATCACCCATCATGTTGAGGGAGTTTTTGGGAATCTGCACTTGTCGGGTAGACCAAATTCCAACAGCTTGGTTGCCAAATGTTCTGTGTGGTGGAGATGGACGTGTAGCCACTGAAAGCGGGGTTCTTCCAATCCTGAACCAGCTTCTCCAAAGTGACCCTTTCAGGGTTCCTTTTCATGACCCTTGGGAGGCTCTCTGAAGAACCACGAACACTTGTGCACTCCTTCCCTGCCGACATGGACCCTTGAACTTATGTCTCAAAAGACACCGGTGCAGCGGGCGGCGCGGTCTCCCAGCAGCCAACTGCGAGGCAAGTGCTGGCGCGTGTGCGCGCCGTGCGGCTACACGCGGCGATTTATGGCCAAGGGCTGTCGGTGCAAATGGCCTTCCAACGCCACTGGGCGTCCAGTGGTGCAGCGCTTGCTTGACCTGCCGCGATTGACCTGCTTTTTCATAATATATGGCAATTGATTTGGGGGATCATACTGACCCATTCTCAGAAACCTCCACCCCGAACCTGCAGTCGACAGTAACCCCGCGCCCGTTTTCCGGCCGCTGTTTCACCACCACAGATTCTCCGTGGACCTCGGGCGTGTGTCACACGTCCGCAGACCCGCGGGTCCGCCGGCGGCAGACCAACCGGACGGACGGTCCGAGGCTTCGACGTGAACCAGTCCGGCTTGTTGGAGCCAATGGAGCTCTGCAGGGCGCTCAGAGAGTTGGGCTTCGCCTTTGATGCGGAAGAGGTGGCGAATTGGCACCTGGGCACCGAAGAAAGGCGAAAGGGATAGAGAGAGCCGGGCATGGTGCGGAAAGGGCGGTTGGTGGCGAAAGGTTTTTTCTTTCTTGTCTTTTTTGTGGAGTGGAAAAAGCACCTGGCAGGGGAGGATTTGGCCTTCTTCCTGACGGAAGAGCAGAGCAGACCATTTTTCCAGTGCGGTCCCGGCGGTGCCTTTTTCCACCAGAAATAGATCAATGAACCTTCACTCAACCTGCATCAGAGTGGCCGCTGGTAGTGGAACTCGACCGGGAAGCCTAATTGCAAGTTTGCAAAAGAGGTTCATGGCATAGACGGCGATGACTTCACCCCTGGATGTTTTGGTTTTGTCCCCCCAAAATCTGGTTAGCCAATCTAAAAAAAGGCTCAAAGTCACCGCCAGCAACGGCAAAAGGATCGAAGCGGTGGACACCACTGGGAATCACTGCGCCGATTATTCGGAGTTCTTTGCCTTCTGCAAGCTGCAAGTGGATGCCTTGCTAGGCGGATGCCGGACTTCATGGGGGTGATCGAAGGGCAGATCATCACGGGTTTACGGTTTCCCCACGCCGACCCAGCCGACCCAGCCGACCCAGCCTCGTCTCATAGGGAAAAGTGGTCTCCTGGTGCCATAAGTGGTCTCCTGGTGCCATTACGGCCAGTTGTACAAACGTGTGAGTCACACGACGTGGCTTCAACGATCACGACACAAACTTGGGTTTTGGACATCAACCTACATCAACTTGAGTGTCACAGAAAACGCGGCTTTCCGTGGTTTTCCGTGGGATCGACTTGGACGTGTTCTCTTCTTCGAATTCTGAAATCCGGAAGTGAAGCAAGCGAGGTCTTTGGACTGTAAACAGGTGGTGGATGGTGGTGGTGCTTATGATTGTTTGAGGATGTTCTTTGGTTTTAAAAGCACGACTATATAGTGTGGACATGTGTGGACTGTTGATTGGACAAAATAAAACGATAAACCATGCATATGGAGAGATGTAAACCATTCTGGTACGGGATTCCATTTATCAAGAGTCTAGAATAGGTGAGAGGTTCATCTCATCCACAATTGATTACCATCGGCACACGGAGGACTTGGAATGAGAAGAATCTGAAAATTGATGGCCGAACCAAGGGATTGTTGATTCCTGATGTTCAGCCGCCGATGCTTTTGAAATTGGTGGTAGATCCTCGTGGTCATGTCCCATGTTTGAAGAATCCACATTTTGGAGCCACAACCACCATGAGTCAACATGTCGCATGCGGTTGCATGTCCATCAAGTCCTGTGAACTACCATCCCTTTGTGCGAAAAACACATGTTTTCCTTCTTCAATCACCCATCCAACCTGACTCCCAAACCAGTCTCCGCGCCCTGGCCCCAGCCTCAGCCTCACCCAGACTCGCAGGGATCGGCTTCGTCCCCAAAGCGGCCCTGGCGGCGGATGCGACCGTCCTCATGGCCGACCGGCGCGACAGCCACGCCAGCGCCGAGCCCGCCGAGCCGGTCACGCCGGTCGCCGTGCCTCGCACCTGGAACTGTCGGGGAGTGTCGTTCCTAGATTAAGGTATACAGCAGATGTATACAGTGGATTCAGCGTAGATGGCACAGACCCCATGATGTCCCTTAGATGAGAGCCGCCCATCTAAAGCTCCTTTTGGATTGTGCCATCTACGAAACCACTGTATTATACAGTCATAAGGTGTCAGCATTTTTTAGCCATAATGATAATACAAGACATTTCTGGGGGTACCAGAATGGTGTCATGTGTTTTTTTCGTGCCGGCTGCAGATGTCTGGTTCATTCATGGAAACCTACAGTCTTTGGAGGTTTGACCTTCATTCAGAATCTATTCCCGGCTGTTGCTCTGAAAGACTAAACCCTAGGGCTCCTGTCCCATCTCCTCAGGTTCGGTGGTTAGACCACCCCAACTATCTTCTCAGGAGGTGGTTGGAGCCCTAGGATATAAAGCCCAAGTGATGGATGGCGCACGTCGCAAGTGATGGCGGAGTTTGCCTTGAAGCCACCAAAGACTGAGTTCAAAAGGGGTCTAAACCACTGGCCGGTGTCCTATACCCTAGCCTTCAAAGACCATGGAACAAAAATGGTTGACCTGATTTTTGTAGGCTAAACATGTCTGAGATCCATGAAAAAACAGAACAATGGTTCTTCGACCATTAAACCAAGGAAATGAGGGACCAATGGTTGTTGACATCCCAATGGGAGTCTCATATAGTGGTATCAGGTAAATTAAGCACCTTGACCCACGTTTGCCAGCTAGATTCTTCGATTGCTAGTTTCTTCGATTGCTTGACGCTGAATCTGTTCGGTCGCGATGTTGCAGCCAGATCCCACTCAAACGTCCTCTAAACGGATGGAAGATTTGTATAGCATTGTGTAGCTATATATCCACTGACTGCTTCCAACTTCCAAGCCCAAGACACACGAACAAAGCAACACTGACGGTCACCGAATTGACTGCACCGACGGCCGGGTCGGCAACCCAACCCAAAGACGCCGCTCGTTCCTCGTGAAACGCGGCCGCGCAGTCCAAGGGGAAGGACGAGCAGGTGGCGCAGCCGAAGAGCGCGAACCCCACGAGCCTCGAATGCTGAAGGGGTCCCGTTCGACGTCGATCTCGGATTATTCTGTTTCAGGCAGGAAAGTGGAGTCCAAGAAAGGTTTTCCTATAGCCTGCAAGGGTTTGAATCATCCGAGGCGCGTCTTCCCGTCACAAAGCTCAACAACCCCCTTTGAATTTGGCCTAATGTCTCTTCCATCCCAAAATCTTGGGAAGTATAGACTCGACCTGCTAGTAGCAAGAAACTACCTATGCTAGAAGCTATAGAAGCTAGAAGCTGAGGCCATCGCTGCCATCGCTACGTTCGCATTCGAAGGACCATCGATCCTCAGACGATCCTCAGAACCACCACTCGATCCTGAGGACGGGTGCGCCGGAGCTGATCCGCCACACGAGTGATATCGTGCGCCCGGACGAGATCGAAGAGGACGAGCTCGGCTCCGGTCCGAGCCACAGCTCTGCGACGACCGGAGGGGTCGTGCAGATGGGGAGAGCGGAGAGCGGAGGAAGCAAGCATTTCCCCCCTCACCGGTGAGCCTGGGTGAGCCCAGTAGATGACCCCCCCTAGTCAATGTATATCGAACTGAGTTTGTGGAACGGACGAACGGACACTTCCTTGCCTTTTCTTCAAGCTTGAGTGAGCCAATGGCAACATCTGGCGGGGGGGCATCCTGAAGTGTTGGTTTTGGAAACGTGGGAAAGCGTGGGGTTGACACATCTTCCTCAAGCACATGGGTCTCCAAACCTAACAGATACATAGGGTTTTCGTTGGACCATTCGCAGTGCTTCGGCTTCTTTCGTTGGTCAAGGGACACCCGCACCGGGGACCCTCCGGTCCTCCTTGGTCCTGTCGCCCTGAATCGTTGGTATCCCGGTCGCGCGACCGGAGGAGTTGCTGGAACGAAGGGCTGCGCAAAAGCGCCAAGAGGCAGAAGAAGCCCGGGCCAAGGCGGACGGACAGGGACATGAAGGGAGGACCTGAGGGAAGAGGAGGACCCAGAGATAAAGGGACGGAGGACCGTAGACTCTTGATGGATCAAACTCCCCCACATCATGGATTGTACAACCTCTTCAGGCTTGGGGGGGTTGAAATAGAATCAAAAGTCTACAGCATCGGGGTGGGGCA